GGATTGCATGAACAGTTTTTTATTTTCATTGTTTATGTTTGTTTGTATATATATGTACATTTTTGTGCTCTTTTTTTAACCACGATTAAGTGAACCAACTCGATTTGTTCGTCTTTGAAAACAGTTAAAAAATATTGTACGAACATTTTTGTTAAAAAAAAATATTGCACCCATATCAGCTGTTACACTTAATGCAAATACTGTAATACATAGACGATAAATGGAAAAGGGAGCAATACTTTGTGTATTTAACACCATTAACATTGAATAAGGAAAACCACCTATAAACGTAAAATGTTATTTTTCGATTTGATTTTTTTTATGTTAAATTTTCTTACCAATACATAATACAGTGATTAATACAATTATATGTCGAAATACTTTAATATCTTTTGTATTTGTAAATCGATGTTTAATATGTATTGCACCTAATTAGAAATATAATCTATGATATTATGTAATTAAAAAAAAGAAGGAACATAAACCTTGATCACGTATAAGATTAAATTTTCGAATGGGCATTGCATTCGTTTTTCTAGCACGTCGAACAGCAGCTCGTACAAAACAAACAATATGTGTATAACATATGGAAATAATTGTCATTGGTAAAACAAACATTGAAATCATACCTAAAATCAAATGAATTAAAACAATGAATTCTTTTTATTTTTCATACCATATAATGTTTGTGAAACGTTTTTAATTGTTATAAAACATTGACTTGTTTCTGTTTGATATTGTCTATGACCAGATGTAAGTATCGATATTGGTAATAGAAAACCAAGTGTCCATTGTATTGCGATAAGAATAAAATGAACATGATACGTTAAAAGGACTGTATGTTTGTAAAAGACAACAAAAAATAAGCGTGATATTGATTGAATACAATATGAATAATAGAGAAGACTACCAGATACATGCATAAGATAATTACGAATTTCACAATAATGATTTTGATTTGATGTTGAAAGAAAAATATCATCACGAAATAATAATAGAGCATTACTTAATTGTACCACATTAAAAATTAGACCAGCTACACATGAATTAGCTGAAAGTAATGTTAAAACTGACCGACAAGAACGATAACCAGCTGATATACATATAAATGATACACAAAATATACAACCAAGAAATATGGAACTAATCAAAAACATGTCCAATAAAATAAAAAGTGGACGAATACTTAAACTTGATGATTTAGATAATGTATTATTGGTACTCATTTTGATTAATGAATGAAATGAGTTGAGTTTGGTCTTAAAGATTATATATCATAAAAAAAAAGGTGCATCTCGTGTATAATCAATAAAAATATTAGATTTCCTATTGAAAATAATTTGAGAGCCAGTTTGAATATTTAATACATAGATTTATTGTTTACATGTCGTTGAGATTATCTTTGTTTGGATGAAGATATTGAGCATATTGGATAAATAAGAGATTTTTATTTGAAAATGAATATTTTTTCATTTTTTTTTGAAAAGAAATTGTGTCGTGTGTAACAAGATAAATCCACAAAAGACAAAGTTTCATGTTTCTTTGTGAATAGTTGTAGCATTGTTTATATTAGAAAAGACTTGGCCAAAATTTCATGCGTGATATTTATTGTATGATTAATGAATGAATAATAAAAAGATATATGAACTCAAGGTTAAAGAGGAGAGTCCCCGATTCGGTCCTAATCGATCCTTTCGCGTTTCGATCCCATTTGATGATCTCCTACTTGGGTTCTATCTGAATTCGATCCCCTCTCAACTCGGTCCCATTTGATGATTTCTCAGTTCGATCCCAATATTATCAAATATTATGGCTCATAATTATATTTAATAGAGTAGAAAACAACTTATATGATAAAGAATAATCAGCTAAATAGAAAAGTTATTCCCATTTATAACTCATAGAAACTGACATATATAAAAGAAACAGTTTTTTGTTTTTACTTCACAAATTTTGTTTTTACACTTTTACCGACTTGAGTTGGTAACCGTAAATCTGTCAGTCTTCCATTGGTATGTTCACTGAGAAGAACAAGAAGTTGTGTATGGCATTACACGACAGCGCTATTCGGTTCTGTTTTAATACTTTCGTTGAATAGTATATTGAAAACCTTCTAATCAAGTATAAGTGTATAACGATGTCTAGTTGTTAATTGCATGTTACTTATTGTTCGTCTTTTGTATTTAATAAATGTTTCTTAACTATGATCGCTTATGTATTATCTGGTTTAAGCCGGTCGATTATATGCATTCTGCTCAACCAATGACCATTCGAGAATGAATTCTTAAACGGCTACTCATGAAAATGACAGAAGACTTATCATGTTCTTTTAATTTGATGAATCATGAACGAACTAGAAAGAGACTAAAATGAGAGAGGATCAAACTGAGACGGGGCTGAATTAAGAAAGGATCGAAATGAGATAGGACCCAAGTGAGAGATTATCAAATGGGACCGAAACGCGAAAGGACCGATTCGGACCGAAACGGGGGTAAACCTTACGAGAAAATGTACTGCTAAAATTGAAATAACAAGTTTATATGATTTGTTTATATAATTTAAATTAATATAATTATGTATCTTTGTTATATTTTTTTACGACAAGATCATTTGCTTTGTTTTTATACAAATGAATGCAAAATCAAAAGATAAAATATAGATTAATACAGCTTATCATCTTTATTTATCAAATGCATCTACAGATAGTCGAGTGAATTTACTAAAAAAAATGGCTTGTTTTTGGACATAAAATTATTATTTTGAAGAGAGATAAATTTGAGAAAGTTATCTCTTTAATCTCTCCTCAAATGTGGCTTTGGTTAATAATTGCTCTTCCATGTTCAATCGAGCCTAATTATATCCTTAACCTTTGATGTTGGTAAAGCTCAAAGAACGTTTTGAATGATGATATAAAATTATTTGTATAAGATACAATATACTTCAAAACTGACATTGAAAAACGAGATAGCTGTCGCAATCTTTGTAAAGTAAAATGTTAAAAGAGAATTTTCGTTTCCTACATTCACTAAGAAAATCATTGTCAAGGTATTGCTCTATGATTCTACTGAACCGTGAACACGTCATATAATTTATCTATTGTTTCCAATTTTATGTATTTATGTAATATTCAACATTGAATTTTCAATAGATTATATGGTATTTTTTTATTAAGACCTTTCTCAAAAATTGATCTTGGTCCAAGTATATTCAAATCGCACGAAAATTTCAGTATATGTTGAGATTGTAATGGAGAGGCTTTGGTAAAATTTTTAGTCCCATATCATTATGTTTTCAGAAGATATTCAACTAACAACTGGTCAAAAATAGTTTATTTGGCAACTGAAAAGAATTCTTTTTGAGGCTTTAATCTATAGATTTATTTTTTTTTGTTTGAAAGAACGTATCAGGACTCAGAGTATGATTGAGCCTATTTTTAATTATTATCTTTGAGAGGGAAACAGGAATAAAAAGTTGAACGCTCCAAAAAGCTCTTAAAAAATGGCACTCTAATTATAAAAGCACTATTTTACAGACGAGTAACAATGCTTAATTCAAAAAACGGACTCTATCATGTCTTGCATCTTAGCATGGTCTTTCAAACAAAAACTAAGTCATTGAGTACTATGAAGTTCTTTCAAGAAGTCTGAGATGCTCGATCAAAGATATATAAACAGAGAAGAAACGAACAAGATTTTCCATTTTATTTGAAAAAATCATATTTTTCAGGTAAAAAATAACGGGAATTTTTGTAGAAAACGATGTGCTAAATAAGGAATCATGATATTTATGAAAGTTCAGATTTCGGGTTATTTTTCTATGGATTTACCCATGTAAAAATTTTTGATTAAAAATTTGATTAAAAATCGATTAAAATGGCACGATTTTAATCGGATTTTTTAGGCTTGAAGACGGATTTTATTTGATTTTAATCTTTTTTAATCTATTTGAATCTATTAATAAACTTGAATCAGTTAAAACTAATTATCAAAATCGATTTTAGTTGATTTAGGTTTATTAATCGATTAAAATAGATTAAAAAAGATTAAAATCAAATAAAATCCGTCTTCAAGCCTAAAAAATTCGATTAAAATTTGATTAAAATCGTGCCATTTTAATCGATTTTTAATCAAATTTTTAACCAAAAATTTTTACATGGGTTATCTCAATTTTTATATTTTTCAAGAAAATTGACCTTTTGTGAGCGAGAGGAAGGTCCTAAAACTCTGCTTTTATTAGATAAATATTTCTTTTTTTTCTAAAATTGTACTTGTCTATTTCCTAATTTGTATTTGATTTGTTTCTCTGAGTAAATTTTTTGTAATTAGAATCTTTACAACTAAAATAATACATGATAGGATTATTGATTCAAAGTTGTCCCGAAAACTTATTTTTCAATGACCAATGATTAGAATAGAAGATACAAAACTGTTGCAAATCTATGTGTAAATTTTTATGAAAAATATTCTTGTTAATATTTATTTGATTGATAAGCGATGAACACGAAGACTTAACTATGTGTACTTAAGCACGAAGACACTTCAGCACGAGGCTGTTCAGCAATAGAATGTTTAAAACATAAACAAGAATGAGCATTAAGGATGCCAGTATGGATGAAAATGAAGAAAAGACTAACGTCTACACCCACACACTCATCGATATATTTCTGTTGATCTTTCAATAAACGTCATCTTTGCTTTCTTCTTTTTACATGATCCAAATGTTGATGTTGCACATTCTCATGATCATCATTCTGATTCTCTTATTAATTATTTCGATAAATGAGTCAAACAAAGGTTAATTTTGTGTATGCAATGTCGTTCAATTCAATATGAATATATTCATCAGTATATATTAAGTTTTATATGATCGCGTAGGTTTATTTTCTGTCTATAAATTATCGATCTTACACAAAGCATAGAAATTACATTTGAAAAAAAAATAATATAAAGTTTATTGCACTATAATGATCATCACAGACACATATGGAGATGAATCAGTTTTCATCGAAATGTATGCATAATTCTTCGAGCATGATTATTTCTTAATTCATTCATTGCTAATTCAAGTTGTTCAACTATGTGTACAAGTGTTAATGGATCAACTTGAAGTATATGAACCTTTTCTTCACCATTTTTACCATTAATTAATGTTAATTTAAGAACAAAAAAAGGATCAAATTGTTTTCGGCTACGCATACTTCTTGTAGCAATCTAAACATATTTTTTTTTTCATTAAAAATAAATAATTTAAATAAATAACAAGAAACATACTTGTACATCAAAGCGCCAATACAGATTTTTATACTGTGGTAATGAAAGAGCAAGATCAGTAGCAAGTGTTGTTTGTAATTGATGAGCTTTTGATTGATAACATTCAATAAAACTTTGTCGAATTTGATTACTATAACCAAGTAATTTTAATGATTCATCAAGCGCATCAGTTGAAATCTAAATAAGAATGTAATAAGAAGAATAAAATGTTAAAATATTTACTTTTGCTTTAGCACATTCAGTATATAACCATAAAAGACTATCAATTGTTGTTCGAACAATTTCAACATCTAATTCAAGATGATCTGAAAAAAGTTAGAAAAGATATTGTTATGTTTTGTTGATAAATTTATCATAAAATAACTGACTTGCTGCATTAGTGATTGATTTTGCATTCAATCCTGTTGATAAATAACCCAAAGCAGCATGACAGATATCAACAGCAGCTAAAACAAATCAACATTTCATTTAAAATATTTGTTCGAAGTCTTTTATCATCGTAAAAGAATTTACTATATAGCATGTTTTACACGTAGGCATGCGATTTATCGCTGTTACTTATAGATCACGAAACAATTTTACTGACATTTAAAAGTCTTTGGTAATTTTATAAGCTCATAGACATTATTATTTTCCATAAGAAAAATTCAACTGAATCAGTCAAATCGAAGTTCATTCAATGATTATATTCAAAATGCAAAAGAATAAAATCGAATGTTTTATTATTTTCATATAACATTCGTTTAATTGAAAAATTTTGTCGACATATAAAAAAAACTGAATTTTAAAAAGAAACTTATGTAAGTGAATTCTCACCAGACTCATCAATTTTATTTAATACATCCAATTGAGCTTTTCGCTCATCATCAAGAAGCAAAAGAGATGATGTTGTTGACATTTGTTCTGAAAAATAAAACAATAAACAATTAATGATAATAATTCAACGAATGACTCATTAAATATCTTGTCTGTAGCAATTTACAGCGACCTCTTCTATGAAATCTAGAGAAACAACTAGCCAATCCTTAATGTTTGACGTCGTAAATTCTGTTTGTCATCTTATTTTCTTTTCAGTTTCTGTTTCCCATCTTATATTATTGGAATAATTCATTATTTATTATTATACTTCCGAGTGATCAGATTGAATTCTTTTTCTTTTCCAAAACATGGGTTCAAGTAAATCAATGTTAAAGCGGTCTATGATACGTGGTGATGAAATACAAGTTTTACAAGTTTATCGTTCTCGTTCCGATATTCGACGCCATATTGATCCTAATCTAGTATTAAATGAAGATGGTGATACATTTGTACATTATGCAAGTCATTTTGCTATGAAAACATTTCTCAGGTGAAGTACATTTTTTGTTTGTTTTTCTCACGATGAAACACAATTATATATTATATGCATGATTATATCTAAGTTAAAGAATACACGTGACTATAGACTGCAAAACAAATGCTTTTATTTTAAGAATTAGCAATACTAATGTACTAATACTATGGATATATGTAACTACTGGCAATTAAATTAGTGTATTTCTCTCTTGCTATTTAAAGATAAAATTCGAGAAACATGGAAAATCTTGTCCTATGATTATTAGAAAATTTTTGTTGAAGTAAAATTTTTCATTTCTCTCAAGTGTATGCAATTTTTAAATTTTCACATTTTATTCTAATTCCAATTGATAATAACCATTCAAATTCTCTCTAAAATTTTATTGAAACTAGTTTATTTAGAACCTTAAAAGCATACAATAATTTCTAGAGCATGTTTTTTTGTTCTTTCCGTACTGTAGTCAAATATATCCAAAGGTAAATTGTTAATGACCCTAAGCCATTTTAGATTAAGAAAAAAAATGTTACAATAATTTTATTTCCATGAAAATAGGAAAGAACTTATATTAAATGTATTATTGAACCAATGGGATAGTCAGGGATAGGGCCATTGGGCAATTGCCCATAACTGCAAAAGTTATTGACCGTGGATTTATTGAGCTATGCGGTGCTGGAACAGTTATTGCCATAGATATTTTTGAAATCATAACGGTTGTCCTTAGCTGTCCGTAACTCAAAATAGTTCGGCTGATGAATTTCCCATGATTCAAAAATTCCTGGCTACGCCACTATATTGAACCGTTGTACTTTATTAGAAATTTTTGAAAAAATTTTTAATTCTAAATGAAAATTCTGTATACATCGAGGGAAAAACTCAATAGTATATTATTGTATTTATTGATTACAAAAACAATGGTAAATCTTGCTTGAACAAAGACAGTGTACTAACTCAGCAGAAACATTTCTACATAATCTTACCGTCCAACTGCAGTCAGTTTTGATATAGCTATGCTGATACCTTAGATATATATCGTTTTAATTTTGTTACTCTCTGTATCATTTATAAGACATTCTTCATACTAAGATATCTTTATATTATTGTTAGAGCCCGTGGTTTAGATGGGATATAATTGAATTTTTCCGAACTTCCTAGCTTATGTTAGTTTTTTCTATCTATCAAGTGTAACTCAATATTTTTATTTTAATAATCTTATTAATTTTGGTTTACATATAAAATCATGGTTTGGAATTTAAAATGTTCTCAAATATTTCCAATAAAATATAAAACTCTAATGGTATTTTCAACTTAAGCCCTTTTCAATTTTACTTCAATTGTTATTAAAATATAGTTATTTTAATAGTTTTTGCCTTTATTTAAAATTCATCAGGATTATTCATGATTTTGCTACAGGGAATATTTGATTAGAGCATGGGAAGGACAAAAAAATTAACCTATATCCTTTAAAATTTAAAATAAGCTAGTGTGGGTTAAATCCTAGTGAGAACATGTAAGGTCAAAGTCAATTAGACGTACAATAAATGGTAAAAATTGAAGATTGCATATAGTTGAAAGAAATGAAAAATTTCCTACAATTATAAGACAAGCATTTTCCGGTTTTGTCAAATTTCATTTTTAGATAGCAACAAACAAATGAATGAGACAAAAACGTTAATTTATGTGTCAATAATTGCATATATGCATAGTATTAGTTCATATGTATCATTAATTCTTAGAATAAAAGCATTTACTTTGTAATATGTATGTAGAGATGTCAAATAGTTTTGATATATCCTATGTCTAAATTTATTTGTTATTCATGCTCTTTATTTTATCATTATGAAAAAACGAAAAAGAAAAGAGATACAATAACTATTACAAAAAAAGAAAAGATAATGATGGATAAACATTTAGCTATTTTTATTTTGACACAGTTATTAACATTTGTGTCATTTTGTGTCACATATGATTTCTTCTTCGTTTTTTTTTTTCTCACACTTAAAAGAAACAAAGAATCATGATAATATTATTAACACAATTATACATTTTGTGATAATCTCTTTGTTGAAGTTTCATATATATTGAGAACAGCACCAGTAATATGATTACCTTGAGTTGTATTTAAAGAAAGACAACTATGTCGTTGTTTTTTCGTTTGACATCGAAGTACAAAAAAATTTAAAAGATAAATAAAACCCCAAACTACAATAATTATAGTAAATAAACAAATATAAGGCCATATAGCATAATGATATGTAAAAGAACCTTCACTATTAGCAGTTAAAGGTAATGATGTACTGTTAGTTGTGAAACATTGTTCCATGGTATTAGATAACATAGAAAACTTCTCGAAAAGATCATATACATTTTACCATCGTTAAATGAATATTGTTAGTGTCAGTTGTTAAAAGAACGTCATTCATTTCTTTCGCTATCATTCATACTATCAGATGAATACGTGTCTATGCTTCTATCAACAACATATCATTTATAACAGATAATGCTTTATATCCTCTCTGTTATATGTTAGTTAATGTCTCTTTCTATCTTGTCTTTTTTTAAATCATGTATTCGTTCTTATATCATATGTCGTAATATTAATTTATTGAATATATTCATTATGAGATTGAATCAACGATAAATATATATTGTTTTATTCTACATAAACATAAAGCAAAACAAGTACAATGATCATTTTCTTTTTATTGTGCTGGACAACAAAATTTAAGTTTATAATCAGTACAAGTTTTCTTTTTTGGAACAATTACTTGATTAAGACAAAGAAAACCTTCAGTTAATGTAAAACGAAATGTATCTCCTGTTTGTGATGGTTCACGATTATCAACTGTTTTAACTTCTAATCCTGTTGGTTTCGAACATACAAAAGATTGACCAGCAAAAATGTTTTGATAATGTGAAACTACTTCAAATTCACCTATAAATAACAAATAAAAATTAAATAACTAACATAAATATAATTGCTCCAGAAACAAACCAAATGCTGTTGGACGACGAACATTTAACCATGTTTTCCATTCATTTGGTGGTTTACATTCACCAATTATCATTCCATGAATACATTGAAAAAATCCAATAGTAAAAACAAAATATACAATAATTATCGATGACATGATTTCTTATTTAACTGATTAGAGTAGTTATCGAATGAGTGTTAATATATTCATTGACTTTTATTTTCAAACAAAAACATTTAAAAGTAACCCACGTCTATATATGATATTTACTAGTAATCGAAAAAAAAACAGTCATAATAGATTAAAATTGTCATGAATTACTGTTATTTTCTTTTTATCTGTTTTTTTTTTCATTTATTTATTTTCTGTTCTTTTACTTCGCACTAATTTTATTATAAATCCAGTTAAGATAAGCACTTGTACGTGTATAAACACCTGGATAATTTCCACGTGCACATTCATGACCAAAGCTAACAACACCTGATAGATGCCATTTTCCATTACTATTATACATTAAAGGACCACCACTATCACCTTGACAACTATCTTTACCACCAACATACGGCATACCAGCACCAATTTGTCGTTGAACATTGAAATAAGCAGGATATGACGCTTTTGCTAGTGCATTTGTTACTCTCATTGTAACTTGTCGAAGATTACTCGGTAATGGACTACCATAATATGTTGATCCCCATCCAGCTACGGTTATTGCTGCTGATTCTTGTGGATCAGGTCCTGGTAAACAAATTACACTCACATAATTATTTAATTGAACTGGTTGAGAAAGACGAATAACAGCAATATCATTAGCTAATGTTCTTGAATTATATTGTTCATGCAAAAATATACGTGATACACCCTTAATTTGTGTACGTCCTGTATTTGTATTTAATCGTTGGTGTAAACCAGCAACTACACGAACAATATTAGCATTTGCACCAGTTAAACAATGTGCAGCTGTAAGAACATGTTGTGTATCAATGAGAGTACCACCACAAAAATGATCACGTACTCTTAAAGAAACAAGCCATGGCCATGAATTTGGAATAGCTTCAACACCACCAACAATACGTAGATTTGACGGTGTTATAGGTTGACGACCACAAGTATTACTAGCAACAACTGGTGTTTGAAATGTTGTCGTTGTTGTAGTTTGTCCAACTGTTCTTGATGGACAACAATAACGTACTTTGTAATCAGAGCATGTTTTTTGTTTAAAACCATTAACATGTTGATTTAAACATAAGAATCCATCTTTTGGTGCTAATCGAAATATATCACCAGTTCGTCCAGGGTTTTCATCTTTTATTGTACGAGCCTGAAATATTATTTTTATTATTTGTTTTTTATTATTGATAATAGAAAAAAAAATAAAAATAGAATATAATTACTTCAATAGCAATTGGTACTGGACACATATAGGAAGGAAATAATCGTTGAATATGATTTGTCACTTCAAATTCACCAACTGTTGAACTTGGATTACCTGAATTAAACCAAATCGTCCATTTATTATTGTCAGAACAACTATTTTCCGTGAATGTTGAAGGCGAAAATACACCTTGACTTAATACTTCAATGGTCAATTGAAGTAAAAATAAAACAGCAACGAACATTTTACATAGCATGTCTTTGATTCAAAACTTAGATTTTTTTTTTGTTTGGAATGAAAGGTGTATCTATTAAATAATCTAACGCCTAAGCCTCTCATTAAAAGGAAACAAAGCATTTATATACATAGTCATACAATATTGAAGATACGATTACAAAGAAATATTTGATGATTCTATTAAATTCTATTCATTTCAATTCACAAATAATATTTATGAAAAATGATCCAAGGTCAAATTATATTGTCTAAAGGGACATTGTAAGAAAGATGTAATCAAAGCACACTTAAAACAGAAGTTTTATCGCACGTGAAAGATAATTTATTTTCGTAATTTGTTCTTTATAGAATCGATGATTAAGTTTTTCTAATGACAGATTATTAATTATTAAATGTCAAGAATAAAACTCCGTTTTTTTATTTTCTAATCTAAAAGAAACAAAAAATTAATTGAAAATAAACTTTATTTTATAGGCATTTACTTCATGATCATAACGGTAATGCAAACAAACGCAATCGTTTAAATCAAACATCTTTACATTGTCTATTAAAAGCTGGTAATGAAGTTCGTCGAAATGAATGTCTTACATTATTATTAAAATGGAAAGATAAACACACAAATGAAACTATTGATATTGATGCTAAAGATTCAGTAATTAATAACATTTCTATATATTTGATTTTATTGATTAGTTTTATTTTCTTTGTTATTTATTTAGGATGATAATACAGCCTTACATTATGCAGCCAAAAATGGACTTAAATCATGTGTTGAGGTAAATTTTTTTTGCATATAAAAATGAGAAATTTTCATTTTAAAATTATTATTTTTTATAGAGTCTTTTAAATGCTGGTGCTGCACTTTATGTTGAGAATCGTGAAAAACTAACTCCATGTGAACTTGGTAAGATCAAATTCAAGATATATATAGAGTCGAAGTAATATGTTTCAAATGCTGTTTTGTTTTTCTTTCAGCTGAAAAAAATGGTCATAAAGATTTAGCTATTTATCTTGAATCAAGAATGATATTCAGTGTAAGTTTGAAATTTTAATCTATGTTCACAATATTTTTTTTTTAATTATAGAATAGCTCAGAAGAATTAGACATCGATGAATCACCATTAATGGCTGATGATGTAAGTGAATCGAATATGTTTTGAAATACTTATTTTACCACTTAAACTCTACGAAGGTCGATAAATATCGAATAATTTTATCTTAAATATTTTGTTTTTTAAATCAAATTTCTTAATTTGCTTCTTAATCTAACATAGATTTCTATAGATTGAGAACTATCATAAAAGCAGTATATTCAATCTTGTAAAGTATTCATTAGATTGATAAATGATAGAAGAACAGTTCTTAATACAATAAGTCAATTTCTGCTGGATGTTTTTTTTTATCTATTATCTGTTTACATAAGGAAGATTAATAGGCTATAACAGGGACATGTCATACTCATCGTATAAATGAAGAAAAACAAACGAATTTTGAGTGCCTAGAAAATCATTTGGTGGGCAGAGCAATTCAATTAAATAACAATCTTTCTGCTACTCACCAAAATCAGTGTACTTAAAGATTTTTATTCAATGAACAATTCTAATTAAACTTTAAAATCTTAAATATTTATTTTCGAAAAAAAAAAATAATTAAAATAATTCTATCATTTTATTTATTCAGACATCCTGTGGCTTACGTATTCAAGATTTACAAGAAGCTAAAGATTTACTTCTTGTTGAAACTGCTGATATGTTGCAATTACCTTTATTCACAGCTGAAGCTTTACTTCGACATTATGGTATTTTGCATATTGTCTTTTGAGTTTTAAATAAATCAATAAATTTATTTAGAATGGTCGAAAGAGTCACTTCTTCAATCATGGATTGATGATCCAATACGTTGTTGTGAAATATCTGGTGTTAATCCTCCATTAAGTCTTCTTCATGAACGTGGTTTAACAACTATAGATATAAATGAGTTCGATACTGTTCATTTATCCAAAGAAGTAATGTGTTTAAAATGATAAATTAATTAATAATATGCGCTTTTGTCTTTTGTTTAGTGTGGAATTTGTTTAAAAGAATTTGAAAGTGGTGTTGAAAGAATTGTTATATCATGTGATCATCAATTTTGTAAAGATTGTTGGAAACAGTTAGTTCTTTTTTTCTTATTAAAAAATTATATTTGTTTCGAAAAAAAAAAATTTTTTTTCTAGATATTTAACATTGAAAATTCAAGAAGGTTCTGTTCATAGTATATTTTGTCCAGCTGTTGATTGTTTTAAATTTGTACCAAATGAAATAATTGAAAAATGTGTTGATCAAAATATGGCAAGACGTTATTTACAATTTGATATAAAAGCATTTGTAGATTCAAATCCAAATTTTAAATGGTGTCCTCATAGTAATTGCACACTTGCTGTACAATCACCAATATTTGATCGTCTTCAATCATCACATATGAGAGAATTTTCAAAATCAGTTAATTGTCGAAACGGACATTATTTTTGGTAGGAAAAAGAAAAAAAGAAAGTCAAAAGATTCAAATATATAATTTGTTTTTTTGTATTGTTATAGTTGGGATTGTTTACAGGAAGGACATGAACCAGCATCATGTGAAAATTGGAAAGATTGGTTCGAAAAAATAGCAGAAATAAAACCAGAAGAATGTAAATAAAAAAAAATATTTGAATGAGAAAATAAAAGCTTATTTAAAAATTTTTATCTATTTAGTAAAAGGAACAGAAGAAGAAGAAGAAATAGCTGCCAATTGTTTATGGCTTGTAACTAATTCAAAAAAATGTCCTAATTGTTCAATATCCATACAAAAGAATGAAGGTCCTTTTTGTTTATCTTCTATTTTATTTGAATTTCTAACTATAGAAATCTTAAATCGTTATTTAATTTTCGAATACAATCAGCTGTAGATAACATAAAAATGAAAGAGTCAAATAGGTTAATGATTCTCATAGAAAATAATAAACCAGTCAAACTCATCTTTATTATATTCTATCGTCGTGTTCACTATATCATGTGAACATATCCACATTTTGTTTGAATCAAATCTATTTACTTGTGATGCTAACAGATATGTGTGGGACCAAGTTTTCTTCTGGTCGCGGTCCTCGTCTAGAAAAACCTATTCCAGAATTTATTCATATCATATCTAAAGTAATTCTTCAATACTTGTTTTTTTGATTTATTTAGTCTACGACTAGCACTTTGTCTAATCATCTCTCATGAATCATATTCTGATTTCTGTTCTTATAAACTTGAGTTCCGATTCTGATTCGTGCCACGCATATCTTTGAGTGCAAATAATGACGATTTATATATAGTATTCAATTCATGTGTGATTTCTTTTACAGCGAAATTTAAAATTAAAATCATTAATGTAGAGAAAATAGGTCATTTTAGTGTGGAAGAAAGGAATCTATGAGAAGTAGTGGCGGAGCCAGAAAAATTTTTTAGAGGGGGCTGAGCCCCTCCAGCTACAGTTTTGAGGCTGAAAATAAATATGCTCTTCCATCTTAATGCTAGATCGT